AGGAATCGAATCGGCTGAAATCGGCAGGCTTGTACGCATCCAGTGAGACATCGGAACCCAAGCCGGAATCCCAGGTCGGATCGAATCGGAATCGGAATCCATCGAACTCGAATCGAATCGAATCGGGGCAATCGAAATGAGCTCTGGAGCCCTGCGGTGTGGGCCTGCCCCGCGCCGCCGCAGGATTTGGGCCCCCCGCCCTGCTCCCATGGCTCGATCGCGGCGTCGCCGATCGACCGGGACCCTCCCGCGCCCGGCGGCAGAGGGCCCCCCTGGCCCTGCTCGCCCTCCCCCCCCCCTCTTGCCTCCACCTCCTCCTTCACGTCGCCCTCTTCCTCCATCGAGCCGTCGCTCTCGGAGGTGCTCGTCCTGGCCCTCCTCGCCCTGCGCCCCCCTCCCCTGTCCGCCTTCCCACCCCCGTCCTTGTTCCTCAACCCTCCCCCCCCTCAAAATTTGCAGAGGGGACAACACTTCGCCGCCCGATCTCCCTGCTCCAGGCTGCCCCCCCCTGCTTCGCATCTGTGGATGTATACCCCTCCTACTCGCCCCTCTACTTTGAAGGGGCCCCAGGACACACAAATAAATACACACAAATAGAAATGTTCCCCATAGTTTCCCATATGTTCTGGGTTTCTGTCTTCCCCGCCACTTCCCACATTTTCCTATATTTTCCTGGAAATCGACGATTAATTGTGCCTGTGTGTTGTTTCCCCTCCTGATCCCTGTCTTCCTCTTCACCTCAGGTTCTACCGCCGCCCCCTCCGCAGCATGCACTCGGCCGTCGCCTCCATTCGCCTACGACTGGATGAGGGGCACGCGCGCCGACCATCACCCAACCGAGCGTCCACAGCAGGACGCCCTACCACCCCTGTACAGTGTGGTTCCCGGCGTAGTTGCGAAAACCGTCGAAGAAAAACAAGTTTTTCGGAAGGCTGAGTACCCCAGGGGGCTTCTGCAATTTTCAATCCAGGCTGGTTTCCCCCACGGACCCCACCCCCAGGGGATTGTTTTTGGAGGGGTCGGGGGGCGTTGTGCGTTTTCCCCCCTTGACACCCCCTTATTGGTAGGTGGTGGGTTCTACCCGCCAGGAGCCCCCCTCTTAAGGAAAGATTGGTGTGGTTTGGGCGGGGTGGTGGATTTCCCCACAGGACCCCCCCCCAGGCTGGGTTTTTGGACGGGTCAAGGGGGGTTGGTGGGATCCCCCCCCCTCAGGAGCTGCACCTCAGGTTTTCTTTAGGGGGGTTAGGACATGGTGGTGGGGTCTCCCTCGAGGACACCCCCCTCAGGGGATGGTTTTAGGGGGTCAAGGGGGTTGGCTGGTCTTCTCCCCAGGGCCCCCCCTCAGGGGGGGGATTTTCTGGGGGGTTGGGTGGGTTGGAGGGGGGTAATGCGGTTTCCCCCCACGGACCCCCCTGACGGGGGGTTCTGAGAGGGTTATTAGCGTGATGGCGGAGGCGGTGGGAGACCCCCCTAACCGAGGAAAGAACAAAACACCGGAAAAAACCAAACCGAGGAAAAAAACAAACCGTGAAATAAAAACAAACCGAAGAAACAAACAAAACATGGACAACAAACAACAGGGAACAAACAATCCAAGGAAAAACAAACCGAGGACCAACAAAAACAGTCAGGTGAAACAACAAAGGGGGAACACACTGAGGAAAAGACAGTATGGGGATAACGCGAAAAGAGGGAACAACCTGAGGAAAAGACAACCCGAGGAGAAACAATACCGAATAAGAAACACATGTATGAACTATGATCACTCTCCCTCTCTCTCATGTATCATTATATCGGTTGCCCTCTTGGTTGTTTGCTCTCGCTCTCTCTCTCTCTGTTTCTCCTGCCCTCTTTTTCTCTCTCGCTCTCTCAAAGTATATCTCGTTCTCGCTTTATCTCTCATCATATGTATATTAGTATGTCCCTCTGTCTCTATCTCTCTCTATCCCTATCTCCCTTTCTCTCGCGTTCCCGTTCCCTCGCTTTATCTTACTCTTTATGTTTCGCTGCTTCTCTCTCTATCTCATTATTATAGTTATTACTCTTTCCATTTCTTTACTTCGGTCTCTCTCTATCTCTCTGTATCTCTTTCTCCCTCTCTCTCTCTCTCTTGTTGTTGTTTCTCTCTCTCTCTCTCTCCCTCTCTCTCGCTTTCTCTCACTCTATTGTGTCTCTGTCTCTCTCTCTCTCTCTCTCTCTCTATATATATATATATATATATATAAATTCGCCGGCCCAACGGGCCAGAGGCGTGCTAAGATCTCCGGTAACTGGTTAAGAATTCTCTAGTTCGCGCGCGCGGGGCGGCCCCTGGGGGTCCCCGGACGAAAAGTACCCCGGCAAGGTCCTGAGAGAGTCCCGGGAGGAGTCCCCCAGAGCGCTCCAGGAGCGCTCCATGAGCGCACCAACAGGGCTCCGAGACGTCCCCGAGAGCCCCAAGAAAGGCCAAGAGGCCCCCAAGAGGCCCCCAAGATGGTACACGCGGGGTCCGACATGCCACAAGATCGCTCCAAGACGCCCAAGATAGCCCCCAGACGCCCCAAGAGGCCTCCCAGAGCACTCCCAAGAGGGCCCCCGGAGGCAAAATTTATTGTTTTTCCTTAGGTGTTTGATAGATTTTGGAGCTTCCACCTTTTCGGTTCCCGACGCCCCAAGACGGCCCCAGAGGCCCCCAAGATCGCCCCAAGAGGGCCCAAGAGGCCCCCAAGAGGGCCCCAAGATGGCCCAAGAGGGCTCGAAGACGGCCCAAGAAGCCTCCAAGACGGTCCAAGAGGGCCCCAAGAACACCCCCAAAGGGGCCCCAGAGAGGGAACACGACACAAAATTTCGCGCCCTCGGCCCTAAGAAGCCCCTACGAGGCCCCAAGAGGCCCCTAAGAGGCCCCAAGAGGCCCCCACGAGGCCCTCAGGAGGCCCCCAAGAGTCCCCCAAGCGGCCCCAGGAGGCCCCCCAAATGCCCCCCCGAGCGCCCCAGGAGTCCCCCAAGCGGCCCCAGGAACCCCCAAAGCGCCGCATTGACACCAGGCCCTCGGGCAAACGGCAGACATGAGACCGTATGGGCCGGCGGAATGAGCGAAGCGATTCAATATATGTCTCTGTAGTGTGTCTCTCTCTGTCTCTTATACCATTATTTAGTTATTTCTTTGTTTTCTCCCCCCCTCTCTCTCGTTCTCTCTCTCGCTCTCTCTTGTTTCTCTCTCTCTCTCTCTTTCTCTTTCTCTCTCTCTCTCTGTCTCTCTCTCCCAGGCCCTTCCGAGCGCCCTGGCCCCAGCCCTGCGCCCAGACCTGGCGCCAGCCCCAAGCCACGGGCGCCTGGCCCGCCATGGCCACCGCGGCTGACCAGCGGCGCGGCAGCGGCGCCGAAGCCCGCTGCCGCGGTCCGCGCGCCTCGCATCTGTGAAGGGGCCCCAGGACACACAAATAAATACACACAAATAAACATGTCCCTCATATTTTCCCCTACTTTCTGGGCTTCTGTCTTCCCCCCCACTGCCCATATTTTCCCATATTTTCTGGGGAGAGTCGACGATGAATTGTGTTTGCGTGTGTTTTCTCCCCTCCTGAATCTGGGCCGTCGCGCCGACCTGGCTGGGGGCCGGCCCGGCTGGCCGACCCCCGGGTCGCCCCGAGCGGAGCGCTGCCCCCCGACTCGCCCGCGCAGCAGCGCCCCTGCACGCCTGCCGCGCGGGGCGGGCCCTCCGACCTGCCCCGCGGAGACGCGGCCGCGCCGCCGCAGTGCCAACTCCCAGGCGTACGCGGCTCGATGCCTGGCGCTGCCGACTGTCTGGGCGCGGGCCGGGCCCCTGGTGCCTCCTCCTCCACCTCATCCTCATCCTCATCCTCATCCTCCTCCTCCTCCTCATCATCCTCCTCCTCATCCTCATCCTCATCCTCATCCTCATCCTCATCCTCATCCTCATCCTCATCCTCATCCTCATCCTCATCCTCAGCATCATCATCATCATCATCATCATCATCATCATCATCATCATCATCATCATCATCATCATCATCATCATCATCATCATCATCATCATCATCATCATCATCATCATCATAATCATCATCTCATCCTCATCCTCATCCTCATCCTCATCCTCAGCATCATCATCATCATCATCCTCACCATCCTCATCACCGCCATCAGCTTCGGCACAACCCTCACACGCTTCGTGGCCCCTTCGGGAGCTCCACCAAAAGCCCCCGAGGCAGGATTCGCGCGGCGGCCCAACACAAATTCGGCACACCCCTCAACACGCTTCGTGGCCCCGAAGGAGCTCCACCGAAGGCCCCAGTGGCAAGGTTCGCATGGCTGCCCTCACCCATTTCGGCACACCTCTCGGTTTCCTGGGTCGCCTCGGTCCTTTCTGCCCCATTTCGCATGGCGGCCCCGCCCCATGTAGTTTTCCTGGGTTTCCTCGGTTTCGGGTTCTCCCCGGTTTGGGTTTTTCCTCTGTTTGGGTTGATCCTCGGTTGGGTTGTTCCCTCGGTTTGTTTTTGTTCCTCGGTTTGGGTTTTCCCTGGATTTGTTTGTTTCCTCGGTTTGGGTCTCCTCTGCTTATTTTCCTTTTTCTTGTGTCTTCCTCGGTTGGGTTTTTTTCTCGGTTCGGGCTTTTCCTCGCTCCGGGTTTTCCTCGGTTTGTCTTCGGCTTCCTCGGTTAAGAAAGAGTCCCGTGGTAAGGGTGGTGGTGGTGGTGGTGGGGGGGGGGGGGGGGTGGTGGTGGTGGTGGTGGTGTTTTCCCGCCAGGAGCCCTCCCTCAGGGAGGTGTTCTGGAGGGAGTGGGGGGTTTTCCCTCTCAGACCCCCCCCTCAAGGGATGCTTTCTTCGGGGGTTAAGGGGGGGCTCCCTCATGCCGAACCCTACGCCCGCCGCACATCCAATTACCAGATTTCGCCACCGATCGAAGCTCGATCCTCCTCAAACTCCTCCTCCTCCTCCTCCTCGAAGATCGATCCGCTTCCGCCTCCTCGTCTTGGCTGGCCCCGAGAGGTCCCCGCGGCCCTGGTAGAGCGCGGGGCGCTTCGGGAAGTGGAGCCACCTCTTCAGGCCGGACTCCTCGAACACGCCCCGCGACATCGAGAGGGTCACCAGGTCACCCTCCTTAGACTCGCGTCGTCGTCGTCGTCCTCTCCCTGCTAATCCTCACGCAGCCTCGTCTCTATCAGGGGGGGTGTAGTGACCGAAAACCGCGGCCGAAAGTTTGCCCGAATGTGACCGACACCGGCGCCCGAAATTTCCCGAACGCGCCAGAAAATGACAGAAACTCGTGGTTCTAAACCGAAGCGTTTTTCCTTGAGAATATGTCCGAATGTGACCGACACCAGCGCCCGCAATTTCCAGAACGCGCCAGAGTGTGACCGAAAATTCGAAAACGAATGATTTTCAATGTCGGTCACAACATCGGTCACAGTACAGTAGGTTCGCGCGACGTCGGCGCGCGCAAAAACTTTTGACACCGCGTCAATCGTTCAACCTTGAACCGATCGCGGGCCCGATCGTTTAAGGTTGAATGCAAAAGGGTCCAATAACGTTACCGTACATTGGTACTTCCGCGTCGCAGAATTCAACCTTGAACGCCTTCGCCGCCGTCGCCGGCGCGCCAACGCCGCACGAACGTATCTTACGCTCTCGGTTACAATTTGGGTATGTAATCGGCCACCTTTTTGGTCACGGAGGAGAGCGTGTCCCAAGCAAGCACGCCGTTGGCAGCGGGGTCCTCGACAGGGACAGTCTTGCACCACCTACGTCTCTTGTCCTACAGCGAAGTCAAGCCCACCCACCCCCGCGAGGTCGTTGTTATCCGCTCCCCATCCACGTCATCCAAGAAGACCGTGGATCGCCTCCCCTTCATCTTCATCAAAATGCAGTGCGCATGCACTTGTCTCTTGCGTTCAACAGTCTCGGTCAACTACTACCATGCGTGCCACATGCGCGTGCCCCCGCGAGCGCAAGGCAAAAGCAACACCCAAAACAGTACCATCATATACACATATAGACATTATCCCAGTGCGACCCTACCTAGGAGTTGGAGCATCTAGGAAAGCAACGTCTACATCTACACCGATAGCTACATTAACATCTACACATGCATCTACATCTACATCAACATCAACAACAAGACTCACATCTACATATACATCTATGCTATGCTATGTTACGCTATGATATGCTTTGCTAGGATGCGCGATGCTATGCTATGCTATGCTATGCTATGCTATGCTGCGCTATGTTATTAAATGATCGGCTATGCTATGATATGTTATGATGCGCTATGCTATGATATGCTTGCTGCGCTGTGCTATGCTATGCTATGCTATGCTATGCTATGCTGCGCGGTGCGATGTTATGTTATACTGTGCTGCGCTATGCTATGCGATGCTATGATATGATATGATATGCTGCGCTGTGCTATGCTATGCTATGATATGCTATGTTATGCTGCGCTGTGCGATGCTATGCTATGCTATGCTGCGCTATGCTATGGCATGCGACGCTATGCTGCGCTACGCTATGCTGCGCTATGCTATGATATGCTATGTTACGCTATGCTATGCTATGCTAATGCTGCGCTGCGCTAAGCTAAGCTGAGATGAGCTAAGCTAAGCTAGGCTAGGCTAGGCTAGGCTAAGCTAAGCTAAGCTAGGCTAAGCTAAGCTAGGCTAGGCTAAGCTAAGCTCAGCTAAGCTAAGTTAAGCTAGGCTAAGCTAAGATGATATAAGCAACGCTAAGCTAAGGGGACGAAACTGGGGGAACCACGGGGCGGATACTAGGGGAACCGCCCGGGGCGGGTTCCACTGCCCGGCCCTTTAAGCCTCCGAGTAAGAGCCCTTGTAGGCAGAGCCTAGGTAGGGAACAAGACTGCAGTGGCGCCTCGCGCCATGCACCTTGGTCCTCAGGCGGAAATGACAGGAAGGTCCAGCGGACAATTTTGCGATAACTCCTTGCTGCCTTTTCTGGCATCGCCGTTACAATAATGTTGTTCGTTATCCCTCCTCAAGCAACGCGAATGCACGCCAATCGCAACACAATCAGAGGCCAGTCGCTACGAACTGAATTCAACACGCGCACGCATAGGTCGATCAACGAGCGTCTCGTAGCCATGACGACGCGCGTTGCCAGATACCTGCCGCGGGGTACCCACTGGGCTCAACGGCCCAGGCGCTGGGGACAGGGCGCGGGCCAAGGGCCGCGGCCACTGGGCAACGGGGCACGGAACACGGGCAACAGCCCATGGGCCGCGGGCCACGGGCCATGAGCAACGGGCCGCACGCCATGGGCAACGAACCGGCCTATTTTTCCTCATTCTCACCATACCCTGGGTGTTCTCCCCATCCTCCTCAGCTCTTTTTGCGGAGGCTCCTCCTTGGAGAGCCCCTGGGGGCCTCACCAAAGTTCTCAGGCTTTCTTGAAGCCTTCTGGAGGCCTCCTGGGCGTGTTCTGGGGGCCTCTGGGGCTTCCTAACGCCAACCTGCCTCTAACCGCAGTCTCCCTGAACGCCCCGGTCACGATTTGGAATGCTTCGGGGCTCTCTTAGGGCCATTTTGGACCCCTGTTGTGCCGTTCTGGGGCTCTCTTGGACTGGCTGGAAGCCCTTTCGGATGGTTGCGGGGCGACGTTGGAGCCTCCCAGGCGACTTCGGACGCCCAGAAGACCGATCTTGGAGCGTCAGGAAGCCGAAAAGAGGTGAACCCGAAATTCACCAAAACCCTACATTAAATCGATGAGTATTCCCTCGTGGGGCCTTCTTGGGGGTGCTCTTGGAGGCCTCTTGGTGCGTTTTGGAACGATCCTTCGGGGTATGACGGCTTCTTGGAGCGCTCTTGTGCTGTCTTGGGGTTTTCTGGGACGTCTCCGATGACCCCCCTGATCGCCCTGGGTGTGCTGCGAAGGCTTGGTAAAACGCCATGCGAGGCGCGGGGGGCCGCTTCGAGGCCCGTCCGAAGGGTCCCAAAGACCCAGATCCCGGGAGTCTGTTTTTTTTGGGGGGGGGGACGGGGTTTCCCCCTGCCCGGGCTTGCAAAAACATGGGAAGAGCAATATAGCTGTACCAATACCATGGGGAAGTAGGAAACACCATAGCTGTACAATATATACAGATGTATAGTACTCATGTGCAGCTCTAAGAACTATATCTGCATATTTGTATATGTGTGTATACACATTGAAAGCTGTATATATATATATATATATATACATGTGTGTGTGGGTGGAAATAAATGTACTACTGTAGATCAGTGGATGCTTTTCTTGTAAAATGTCATGTAAACACAGGAAACGAATCTGCCTGGGTGTCCGGCGTGCGGGCCAGGCTGTCTCGGGAGCGCCCTCGAGGGCCCCAAGACGGCCCCAGCGTGCCCCACGAGGGCTCCAAGACGGGCCAACAGGGCTCCACGAGGCCTGTCAGACGGTGCAAGAGGGCCCCGAGTCGCGGAGCGGTCGGTCCAAGGAGCTCCAGATGGCCTCGAGACGGCCCAAGAGGCCTACCAGACGCCCCCAGAGGCCTCCAGGAGCCATCCCAAGAGAGCTTCAAGAGGCACACACATCATCCCGTTCCCCAGGGACGCAAACATTTCTGGCATATGCGACTTTTCGGCCTTCACGGCGTCCAAGACAGCCCCGGAAGCATCCCGGATCATCCAAGACGGCCGAAGAGACCCCAAAGAGGGCTCCGAGACGCCCCAAGAGGTCCCTAAGACGGCCAAAGAAGCGTCCAAGACAGCCCCTCACAGGGCCCTCAGAGGGGTCCAAGAGTGTGAACTCGAATTGAGATATCGAGCCATCCGCCCAAAAGGAGCTCCCGAGATCGCCAGCAAGCCCCCAAGCGGCCCCAAGAAGCCCCCGAGAGGCCCAAAAGAAGCCACCAAAGGCCCACGCAAGGCTCCCGCGAGGCCTTCTGACAGGCCCCAGTGGCTCTGACATCGAAGCTTGCCAGCGACCGCACGCCATAGTCGTTCCAACCCGATGAATAATTACCGATTATAGGCACCGATTAGCACTGCGACGGTCAGAAAGTGATGTACGTTTGTCTTGTTGTTTTCTCTCTCTCTCTCTCTCTCTCTCTCTCTCTTTCGTTTAATATTTATGTTTGATGCTTGTTTTTGTTATTTGTGTTGTTGTTTTATCCCTCTCTCTCTCTGTCCCTCTCTCTGTTTACAGATATGTAAATATGCATATATGTAAATGTGCATGTATTCATGTGTATATGTATAATAATATATATATATATAGAGAGAGAGAGAGAGAGAAATTCCTCTTCCTATATGTTTACAAGCCCGGGCGGGGAGAAAAACCGTCCCCCCCCAAAAAAAAAACGGACTCCCGGGATCTGGGACTTTGGGACCCTTTGGACGGGCCTCGAAGCGGCCCCCCGGGCCTCGCAGGGCGTTTTGCCAAGCCTTCGCAGCACACCTAGGGCGATCAGGGGGGTCATCGGAGACGTCCCGGAGAATCCTAAGACAGCACAAGAGCGCTCCAAGAAGCCGTCATACCCGGAAATATCGCTCCAAAACGTACCAAGAGGCCTCCAAGAGCACCCCCAAGGCCCCGAGAGGGACAAATCATTGATTTAATGCAGATTTTTGGTGAATTTGGGGTTCTCCTCTTTTCGGCTTCCCGACGCTCCAAGTCAGCGGTCTTCTGGGCGTCCGAAGTCGCCTGGGAGGCTCCAAAATCGCCCCACAGCCATCCGAAAGGGCTTCCAGCCAGTCCAAGAGAGCCCCAAACCGGCACACCAGGGGTCCAAAATGGCCCTAAGAGAGCCCCATGGCGGCCCAAGATGGCCCCAAGACACCCTCCGAAGCATTCCAAATCGTGACCGGGGCGTTCAGGGAGACCGCGGTTAGAGGCAGGTTGGCCTTAGGAAGCCCCAGAGGCCCCCAGAACACGCCCAGGAGGCCTCCAGAAGGCTTTCAGAAAGCTTGAGAACTTTGGTGAGGCTCCCAGAGGCTCTCCAAGGAGGACCCTCCGCACAAAGAGCTGAGGAGGATGGGGAGAATGCCCAGGATATGGCGAGAATGAGGAAAAATAAACATGGATGAAGGATAACGAACAGCATTATTATAACGGCGATGCCAGAAAAGGCAGCAAGGAAGCATCGT